GAATAATCATCTGAAGTTTGGTGAGGCGATTCAAAGCTAAAATGTTAGTCATAATTTCACTCGTTGTGCTTCCTCATGCAAACTGTTTAGTCAACCAAATACAACACAGAAACCTTACATATGAATTAAAATCAGGAAAGAAAATGAGAGTTCAAAACCTTATGCACAAAACACTTGGACTTCCATGTGAAGGTGGCCACATTTTTATAGAGGGGTCACTGGAAATAAAGGTGTCCAGGCCATCAGCACTTAAAAAGAAGTTGTATTTCAATACACTTTAGTAACATTGAGTTATTTACTTATTTCAAGGATCCACCCTATGGTACCCAAAGGCAAACCATGACAGGACAACACCTGAACGAGAATTACTCTATTCATGAATCCTGCACTCCATCCTGCCGACTAAGCCTGATGGAGAAACACGAAGACAAAGCACCTCTTTGTTAAGGCAGGGCTCTCTATGGTGTGACTGTACTTGTCAACACTCATGGTATTCCCCCAAAAATAATAATAATAAAGCACAGAGTCCTAACCGCTCAAGAGAAGAAAACACAACTCCCTCTTAAAAAAGGTCATTTCCCCCCAGATAATGTCCAGATTCTCACAGAAAAGCACACATACAAGCAAAATGCAGTGGGACACGCTTGACTTACCATCGAACTTCTTGTGTCTCGACACAAAAGTGGTCCGCACAAAGTGACTCGTCTCCTCCACGAGGTTCTCAAACTCCAGTTTGCTGTGTTGGCTCAACCTGTCTTCCATTTCTGTGGTACAGCATGTATATTCCTGAGGACAGATTCTCAAGTGTTCCCCTGAAACAAAAGCATAAAGGTAAATATGGAATGATCTGGAATGGACTCAAACACTAGCAAGCGCTGGGTCTGGCTGACCAGGCGGTCGCCAGGGCTACGCATTGATTGGATAAATGGCAGCTGAAAAGCACCGCAAGGAATGATGAGGAATTTTGATACATGTTGAGTTATGGCTTCTCTAACATCTCTGTCTCTACCCCCTCCAGCTATCCCCGAGTCTGGCACTCCACCAGCCAGCATGCTTAGCATTCCAAACAACTGGCTGATTTGAGCTGAACCTGATATCTAGTCTTTGTTCCCTGTCAAGAAGATCTCAAAAGACTTCTCTCCTGTTCCTATTTCAACAGTTCCAAGTGACAACAGTGTAATCCAGGTTCACATTTGCTTGTCTTGGAAAATCTCAAGTAAGGAAAAGACAGTAAGTTCCACAACCGTAGTCTGTTGGACATCCAGGCAAGGAGAGGATGGCAATAGTTGCCTGTGTTTTCTTTCGGCCTGTCTGTCTGCTTAAATGTATGGGGCGCACTGTCGGTTGAAGTGACTGCGTTTGTAATGGCAGGTCTGGGGTGCCAGTTGACATTGCTTAGCAGAAGAAAATGTTTTGTTCAAGGGGAATGCACTGATGGGTTTAATGAATGCTTGCATTGCAGGAAAATGTAATGTAAAAGGTAATAAAGTCCCACGTTTAATTCAACATATTTATCTCTTGATAAACTGGCCTACTCCTGACAATATTGCTTCCTTCAGTGCTACTCACAAGTAGAGCCAATCCTTTACTTCACGAAATTGAAATGGTATGTTACTGCATAAAATGTGAATTTACAACAGAAGCAACTCGTTACTGTCAAACATGTTTAGCAGAGTTTGTGGAGGGAAGAAGGAAAATCCACCCAATGTCTTGCTAAATAAAACCAGCAAATTGCCCTTGTCATGGTCAGGCATTGAAAACCAAATGAACAGAGTACTTGATGCTAGAGATAAGAGACACTTAAGATGTCTACTGGTAGATCAAGTAGTCTTAGATGATGTCTGTGTGAGGTGTAGAGTTTCCTCACATGCTCTGATGTCTCTGCTCCATCTGAAAACAGCTAAATGAAAAAGAAGGTTTCTAAAAGATCATAGATACTTATTTAAGTTGTTATGTGTCATATAGCATTGATAGCTTGTTTAATTTCTAGACTTTAAAGGAAACCGCACAAAAATCAATCTTACAAATATAAACCCAAACTACGTTCAATGGCATCGGGTCAATGATAACTTACAGCAACCCTACAGGACAGGGTCCAATCGACCCAAGAGTCTCAGCCACTGTGACGCTTTACGGACAGACGCACAAAGCCACTCACATCCTTCTCCTGAGCCCCTGGTGGTTTTGAAGTGCTGGCCTGTGGTTAGCAGCCAAATGGGAAAATCTTGGACACCAAAGCCCGTTTGCCCCCGTCTTACAAATCCACAGAATAGGAAAAGGCATCACACTTGAGAATGATCAACTTTAAACTGAGAATACAATTGACCTCCTACGCTGCTTTAGGATGTGAGAAAAAACACAGTGACATGACAGGGCTAAAAAGTGTGGAAAAGTGGAATCAAAAGGTAATTAAAATTTTATACAAAATTTACTCATTTAGAAAGATAGTTTAAACTAGCTGAAGGATCCATGGTCTTTATTATATTATTGTCTCAATTTTTCTGTATGTTACACAAGTATTTCATAAAACAATCTTCGATGTTTGACACTAAAATGTACTAGCCACTATGTTGTGCTAAAGAGAAGAGATTAGGTAGAGTAGATATTGATAAGGTATTGAAACAGCAACAACAAAAACACAAATAAACAAGCAGCCCTTGACTTTCAGAAACTGGCTGGGCACCCACAGCCATATCACACTATTCTGCTATTAGACATAAACGGTCTCATGCAATGCCAACTTCAGACAAGGTTACCCGGAGATAAAAATGAGAGAGAGGGACACTTCATAACTATCTGAGCACAGACAAAAACGAGGCCATTGTGCAGCCCACAAAATACCAAACATGTCTTCTCTTAGTAATTTCTTCACCAGTTATCAATTTATCTCCAAACTACTCTCCTTCTTCTAGATAAGATTTATTAAGATACAAACTTAAAATCGCCTCTGCTTGCTGACAGCATCCAGTAATCCAAAGTGTACCACAGCTTGCAGACCCTTCCTTAGATCACACAACCAAAGGATAGGTCTTCTTTAATACTCTCGTACTGAGACACTCCATGACTCTCCATAGTGTGTTGACACTTGCAACAAGTAAGGCTTGAAGATAAACAAGTGGCCGTCTAGTTGAGAAACAACAAAGCCCACATGGAAGAAGCACACCAGCCTGTGTGATCACGAGGTGTCGATGGGATCAGATATCAGGCATCAAAGACCCAGACCCAGAGCAAAAAAACCATAATGTGAATTGGCGGGGGTGGAGGAGGGTGCGTAGTGGAGGCCCAAAGCCAATCTGTAAGCAAATGGACATCCCCTTACAGAAGGGTCGTGGGGAGAAGACGGGACAGTCAGGGTTCAGTATAGCACCGATGAAACATAGAGCTTTCCTCTGGTTCTTTAATGCTTCCTTTCCCCCCACCCCCAACTATCATAACCCTAATTCTACCTTACAAATCTGGCTAGACAAGAGCATGTAAACGGGTACAGATAAGAGCTGGAAACACAGGGAATCCAGGATGGATAAACTCCTCGGGAACAATATTGAGAGTACCCATACCAGCAGGGTAAGGGGAGGGTGTGGGGGAGGTAGAAAGGGGCAACCGATTGCAATGACCTAACTATAACCCCCTCCCAGGGAAATGGACAACAGACAATGGGGTGGGGGGAGATATCGGACAGTGCAAGACATAAATAAATAATAATAATTTATAAATTATCAAGGGTTCATAAGGGAGGAGGATTGGGGAGGGAGGGGGAAAATGAGAAGCTGATACCTAGGGCTCAAGTAAAAAGAAAATGCTTGGAAAATGATAATGGCAACAAATGTACAAATGCGCTTGACACAATGGATGGATGGATGGATGGATGGATGGGTTGTGATAAGAGTTGCACGAGCCCCCAGTAAAATGATTTTTTTTAAAACCACAACATGTTCAACGATAGGTGCGTTGCTGGTGATCTTTGGCTTGAGGACCCTAATTCTACCAGTGAGAGGAGAATGAAAGCAGTGTTGGGAATGTTTCTCACATAATTCTGAACATCATGTTCAGTGCTTCAGACACTAGGAAGGAGCCAGTATGACGGTGTCAAAATCAGTGTTCAACAAAGCTCTCATGTCCTTATACAAAATATCAAGCCTAAAAAAGGTCAGCAAATCTCCATTTCTTGTGACTCCTGCGATTCTCTGACCAACAACAATTCAAAAAGAGATTGAAATGAAGATGCTGATCAATATTATTAACAGATTTTCTCTCCCTAAGCACTGATGGAGGAATGGAGTTGAAGTCTATGTAGACGATAGATGATATAAAGTCAATACTTAAAGGGACACTTATCTTCGAAATGAATATCCTTTAATTCATCCATGAAGTACTCAGCAATGGGTTTGTAAATATGGCCTGCAGCCGAGGAAGCATCCCAGAAGCTGCACTCGGAAGTAGAACACAGCATCCGCAAGCGCTTAACAGCCTACTGAATGCAGGTGATGCACCCTTGCTTCTGGAGAAGACAGTTTGAATTACTGACTGATGAGGATCAAAGACTGCAGCCTTCAATAGGCATCAGGAACACAAAAAGCGCAAATTAAGTGTCATCAGGATACATGGAGAAGAGATTGAAGTCGTCAAGGACCCACAGTTCATGATCCTAAAACCCATCAGGAAATGAATGGACACGTTGCTTTGAGTCAATCCGCTGCCAAGGATCTCTTTGAAGGATTAAACGGCAAACACGGACTTTGAAAACTAAGGTGTGCCATGGTCTTTTCAATCACCACATAAACGTGTGAAAGTTGGACAATGAATAAAGAAGCCCACAGAAAAAGTAAAGCCTTTGAATTATAGTGTTGGTGAAGAATATTGAACAGGTCATGAACTTCTAAAAGTATGACCCAATTTGGGTTGGAAGACAGAATGCTCCTTAGGACTGGCCAGAGTCTGGCCAGACTTTGCCTCCCATACTTCAGGCGGGAGCAATCCCTGGGAAAGGGCATTGTACGTGGTAAGTCAGAGGTCAGGGGAAGAGGAAAACCCGCCCCAAGACGGGGGGACACAGTGACTGCAAGTGTGAGGACAACGGGTTCTCTTGTCCTGAAGGTCCTTCGCCAGCCCTTAACAACAACATAGGGGACAACAGATGAGAGGCACAGGCTGCTAGTGGCTCTCATGACACTCCTTGATTTCTTTCTTAGGAATGAAGAGGAGAGCTTCACCCTTTCCTGGCCACTTGAACAACGATTTTTTGTTCTGTTTTTGGGTTGAGGGTAAGGGAACACCCCGAACCACCCAATCACCTTTAGACTGTAGAGCCCACGGAAAAGGACTCTTTGTACTTGACTTGTGTTCACAAGCCCACAATGGGAATCAACGTCATTGATTGAAATGATCTCCTTAGCCCTCCCTCTCTATTCCTCCATGCTTGTGTATGTTTTAGCTCTATCTCTCGACTCTGCTCCCTGCCAGAGTCCCATATGAAAGAATAAAACACGTGTTCATTTCTTGACAGCACATCCAGTTCTATGAGAAATCTAATACTGTCTCGAGTTAGCACGCTACCTCCTATTTACACATCTGAGACACCACACAGCTACACACAGACACACACACACACACACATACCAATTCAAATCTGAACTCTTTCTCTTGGAGTGAGCTAGAAACCACAATGCTTTCCATCCAATCTAAGTTCATGAAGGGCTTCCAAAGTGGTTCAGCCACAAATACCCCCAAACAGCGATTTCCCTCAGGTCATCCCTGCAGACATTGTCCTTGGGCCAGCTTTGCAACAGAAGTATCGTGCATTTTAGTTTAAGTT